TAACTTAGATGTAAGCCATTGGCAGCTCATGTGTGAACACCTGCGCTTGCTCAGGACCTTTGAGGAGGGCACGCTATTCGGGAGTCGCAGGTCTATGGGACTGAACGTCGTATTTCCCATCTTGTTGCCACGTCCTGGGAAACAAATGTCTGGTTAATATTGGCCTGGTTAGGGTGCGGTAGCCGTGGCGCACAGATCTCAACGCCACATGACCCTGTGGGGGCAGGACAGGAAGAAGAGGAGGAGGTAGAGGAGGACATTGGTGCTCAGGAATTATTGAGTGAAAATGGGGTGGTTTTTCCACTCAGCGGACAGGAGTGGTAGGAGCAGGAGCATCTGGTTAGAGGAGGCGGAGGAGGAGGAGACGAGGACCCCAGACGCACGTGGCAGTATGCTGGGAGATGGAGGCAGGGAGTCCCTCGCATTCCTTGGTACAAATGGCCCATAGCATGCTCGCTTGCTTGCGTTAGCGACAGCCGAATAATAACCATAAGACAGAGGGATGACTTTTGGCTGTCCACCTTGTTGGACCCTCGCTACCTTTCAAAAAATGGTCGGCCTTTTTCACACCTGCTGAGAGGGAGGCCAAAATAACGAACTATAAAAACCACCTATGTAGTCAGCTGGTCTCTGCCTTTCTGCGCCAACGTCCATCCTCTGACACTTTGGGGGGGGGGGGGGGGCCCTGTGCGCTTTCGCGTTCCGCTGCCATGGCAGCAGGGGAGGGGTGGGGTGGTTAGGAGCAGTAGTGGCAGCTCCACCAGCAGCGGAGCTGCCTCAGTCTGCAGTCGATGATGAGTAGATTTCTTCACCAGCGCAGTGAGGAAACTACTAACCAGCCGCAGCAGCAGCAGCATCAGGTGGACCTGGAGCAGGACCTCAAACACACAGGGCTTAGGGCTACTTGGACAGCACCCTGCCAACCGAGGTAGACAATCCCCTTGACTACTGGGCAACGAAACTTGACCTTTGGCCCCAAAACTAGCTGAATTTGCCCTTGAAAGGCTGTCATGCCCGGCCAGTAGCGGTGGCATCTGGAGCGCGGTGTTTAGGTGCGGGCAGGGAGGTATTGTAATTACGCGGAGGACACGGATCTGTCCACCCAAAGGGTGGAGAAACTCACGTTTGGTGAAAATGAATCAGGCGTGGATTAGTCTGGATTTCAAACCACCAGTTCCTGACACAACTGACTAAATCCGCCATGAAATCATGCCCCCAAACATGAGGCCACTTTCAGGTCTCCTCACACTGCTGGTGTGTTCCATTTTTTGTCATAGGGTGCTGGCAGATTACGGGCCTCCATTGCTGCTGCCAGGCCCCTAATCTGCCATGGGCCCCTGTACCGCTCCTCATGCTTGCTGCCAGGTCCAGTGTGTGTCATGGGTCCACTGTACGGCCTCCCATTGCTGCTGTCTCCATCGCTTTCCACTCTGCATGTGCCACTTTCAGGTCTCCTCACACACTGCTGGTGTGTTCCATTTTTTGTCATAGGGGTGCTGGCAGATTACGGGCCTTCCCATAGCTGCTGCCAGGCCCCTAATCTGCCATGGGCCCCTGTACCGCCTCCTCATGCTGTGCCAGGTCCACAGTGTTCTCATGCCATGTGCCACTTTCAGGTCTCCTCACACTGCTGGTGTGTTCCATTTTTTGTCATAGGGTGTCTGGCAGATTACGGGCCTCCCGTTTGCTGCTGCCAGGCCGTAATCTGCCATGGGCCCCTGTACCGCCTCCTCATGCTGCTGCCAGGTCCAGAGTGTCTCATGGGTCCCTGTACGGCCTCCCATTGCTGCTGTCTTCATCGCCACACTCGTGCATGTGCCACTTTCAGGTCTCCTCACACCTGCTGGTGTGTTCCATTTTTTGTCATAGGGTGCTGGCAGATTACGGGGCCTCCCATAGCTGCTGCCAGGCCCCTAATCTGCCATGGGCCCCTATACCGCCTCCTCATGCTGCTGCCAGGTCCACCAGTGTCTCATGCCATGTGCCACTTTCAGGTCTCTCACCACTGCTGGTGTGTTCCATTTTTTGTCATAGGGTGCTGCAGATTCTCGGGCCTCCCATAGCTGCTGCCAGGGCCCATAATCTGCCATGGGGCCCTGTTCCGCCTCCTCCACTGCTGCTGCCAGGTCCAGTTTCTTCATGCCATGTGCCCACTTTCAAGTCTCCTCAAACACTGCTGGTGTGTTCCATTTTTTGTCATAGGGTGCTGGCAGATTACGGGCCTCCCATTGCTGCTGCCAGGCCCGTAATCTGCCATGGGCCCTGTACCGCCTCTTCATGCTGCTGCCAGGTCCAGAGTGTGTCATGGGTCCCCTGTTACGGCCTCCCATTGCTGCTGCCAGGAAGGCACTCTGCCAGGGGTGCAGCAGTTCAGGTGGAGGCTCCACGGCCACGGGGGTAGAGCACCAGCTCCACTGCAGCCTACCACACGGACAGTAGTGGTGCGGTGTGCACGGAGGAAGTAGCAGTCAACCAGTGAGGAGTAGCGGGGGCAAAGTTTCCTAATCGGCGGTGTGGCAATTTTTCGTCAAGCCGCCCGAGGAAGTAAACGTAGCCGTATGGTCGACTATGTGGCCAGAAAGTCAGAGTATCTCCTCATGGGCCAGGGGGCCCATGTTGGGACTACAGCGTTTCGCGGCAGCATATGCAGCGTCGCATTTGGTGGCCTGGGAAAACCGTGATAAAGATACGGCGGTTCTGCCTGCCCCAGCCCAGGGTTCCATTTTGTCATAGGGGCTGGCAGATTACGGGCCTCCCATTGCTGCTGCCAGGCCTTAATCTGCCATGGGCCCCTGTACCGCCTCCTCATGCTGCTGCCAGGTCCACAGTGTCTCATGGGTCCCTGAACCGCCTCCCATTCCTGCTGTCTCATCGCCACACTCTGCCATGTGCCACTTTCAGGTCTCCTACACTGTGGTGTGTTCCATTTTTTGTCATAGGGTGCTGGCAGATTACGAGCCTCCCATTGCTGCTGCCAGGCCCGTAATCTGCCATGGGCCCCAGTACCGCCTCCTCATGCTGCTGCCAGGTCCACAGTCTCTCATGGGTCCCTGTACGGCCTCCCATTGCTGCTGCTGTCTCCATTGCCACACTCTGCCATGTGCCACTTTCAGGTCTCCTCACACTGCTGGTGTGTTCCATTTTTTGTCATAGGGTGCTGGAGATCACGGGCCTCCCATGCTGCTGCCAGGCCCCTAATCTGCCATGGGCCCCGGTACCGCCTCCTCATGCTGCTGCCAGGTCCAGAGGTGTCTCTCATGGGTCCCTGTACGGCCTCCCATTGCTGCTGTCTCCATCTCCACACTCTGCCATGTGCCACTTTCAGGTCTCCTCACACACTGCTGGTGTGTTCCATTTTTTGTCATAGGGGTGCTGGCAGATTACGGGCCTCCCATTGCTGCTGCCAGGCCCCTAATCTGCCATGGGCCCCAGTACCGCCTCCTCATGCTGCTGCCAGGTCCACCAGTCTTTCATGGGTCCCTGTACGGTCTCCCATTGCTGCTGTCTCCATCGCCACACTCTGCCATGTGGCACTTTCAGGTCTCCTCACACTCACTGCTGGTGTGGGTGTTCCATTTTTTGTCATAGGGTGCTGGCAGATTACGGGGCCTCCCATTGCTGCTGCCCAGGCCTAATCTGCCATGGGCCCCAGTACTGCCTCCTCATGCTGCTGCCAGTTCCACAGTCTCTCATGGGTCCCTGTACGGCCTCCCATTGCTGCTGTTCTCCTTCGCCACACTCTGCCATGTGCCACTTTCAGGTTCCTCACACTGCTGGTGTGTTCCATTTTTTGTCATAGGGTGCTGGCAGATTTCGGGCCTCCCATAGCTGCTGCATGGCACCATTAATCTGCATGGGCCCCTGTACCGCCTCCTCATGCTGCTGCCAGGTCCACAGTGTCTCATGCATGTGCCACTTTCAGGGGTCTCCTCACACTGCTGGGTGTGTTCCATTTTTTTGTCATAGGGTGCTGGCAGATTACGGGCCTCCATTGCTGCTGCCAGGCCCGTAATCTGCCATGGGGGCCCCCGTACCGACTCCTCATGCTGCTGCCAGGCCCGTAATCTGTCATAAGCCCCTGTTGTCGCTTGTTGGCATATTCCGCTCGTTCAGATGCTCCTTTCCTTGCTACTCCTCTTCACGGATTCCGTCAGCAGTCTTTCTTGGAATCCGTTTCCAAGAGACAAAACAGTTTGCGAGCACGCACCGACGGTGCAGTAAGCTGAACGTCCTCCTGTCCAAGTTGCTGCTGCCAGGCTCGTAATCTGTCATGCGCCCCTGTACCGCCTCCTCATGCTGCTGCCAGGTCCAGAGTGTGTCATGGGCCCCCGTACCGACTCCTCATGCTGCTGCCAGGCCCGTAATCTGTCATGGGCCCCCTGTACCGCCTCCTCATGCTGCTGCCAGGTCCAGAGTGTGTCATGGGTCCCTGTACGGCCTCCATTGCTGCTGCCAGGCCCGTAATTGCCATGGGCCCCTGTACCGCCTCTTCATGCCTGCTGGCCAGGTCCAGAGTGTGTCATGGGTCCCTGTACGGCCTCCCATTGCTGCTGCCAGGAGGCAGCAGGGTCGCAGCAGTGTCAGTGGAGGCAAACGGCCACGGAGTAGAGCACCAGCTCCACTGCAGCCTACCACCACGGCCAGTAGTGGTGCCGGTGTGCACGCACGGAGGAAGTAGCAGTCAACCAGTGAGGAGTAGCGGGGGCAAAGTTTCCTACTCGGCGGTGTGGCAATTTTTCGTCAAGCCGCCCGAGGAAGTAAACGTAGCCGTATGTCGACTATGTGGCCAGAAAGTCAAGCGTGGCCAGGGGGCCCATGTTGGGACTACAGCGTTGCGGCAGCATATGCAGCGTCGCCATTTGGTGGCCTGGGAAAACCGTGATAAAGATACGGCGGTTCTGCCTGCCCCAGCCCAGGGTTCCATTTTTGGGTCATAGGGTGCTGGCAGATTACGGGCCTCCCATTGCTGCTGCCAGGCCTTAATCTGCCATGGGCCCCTGTACCGCCTCCTCATGCTGCTGCCAGGTCCACAGTGTCTCATGGGTCCCTGAACCGCCTCCCATTGCTGCTGTCTCCATCGCCACACTCTGCCATGTGCCACTTTCAGGTCTCCCTCACACTGCTGGTGTGTTCCATTTTTTTTGTCATAGGGTGCTGGCAGATTACGAGCCTCCCATTGCTGCTGCCAGGCCCGTAATCTGCCATGGGCCCCAGTACCGCCTCCTCATGCTGCTGCCAGGTCCACAGTCTCTCATGGGTCCCTGTACGGCCTCCCATTGCTGCTGTCTCCATCGCCACACTCTGCCATGTGCCACTTTCAGGTCTCCTCACACTGCTGGTGTGTTCCATTTTTTGTCATAGGGTGCTGGCAGATTACGGGCCTCCCATAGCTGCTGCCAGGCCCGTAATCTGCCATGGGCCCCCGTACCGACTTCCTCATGCTGCTGCCAGGACCAGTAATCTGTCATAAGCCCCTGTTGTCGCTTGTTGGCATATTCCGCTCGTTCAGATGCTCCTTCTCCTGCTACTCCTCTTCACGGATTCCATCAGCAGTCTTTCTTGGAATCCGTTTCCAAGAGGACTACAGTTTGCGAGCACGCACCCGACGGTGCAGAAGCTGAACGTCCTCCTGTCCAAGTTGCTGCTGCCAGGCTCGTAATCTGTCATGCGCCCCTGTACCGCCTCCCTCATGCTGCTGCCAGGTCCAGAGTGTGTCATGGGCCCCGTACGTACCGACTCCTCATGCTGCTGCCAGGCCCGTAATCTGTCATGGGCCCCTGTACCGCCTCCTCATGCTGCTGCCCAGGTCCAGAGTGTGTCATGGGTCCCTGTACGGCCTCCCATTGCTGCTGTCTCCATCGCCAACACTTCTGCCATGTGCCACTTTCAGGTCTCCTCACACTGCTGGTGGTTTCCATTTTTGTCATAGGGTGCTGTATGGCCTCCCATTGCTGCTGCCTCCACCGCCACACTGTGGCTTCCGCACTCTGGTTTTGGCCTGTGACTGCCCAAATGAGTGAAGTGTGCGGTGATTCTAAGATCGACGGCACTCATCTGCATGTCATACTGACTGTCAGTATTATTTTCTCTTCCCCAGCAGACTCCAAGGGCATTTAAATTAAAGGTACTTTGTTCTGCACTAATATAAAGGCTCTCTGAAGCCTAGAAACACCCTTTTTATAAGTTAAATTCGCAGCGAATATATTCGACTCGAATCAAAATTTTTTCACGAATTCGCCGAATCAGTCGAATCGAATTTTTGAATACTTCGCTCATCTCTAGTCAAAGCCCTGGAATATAAGGTGGAGGATGAGGAGAATCGGAACAACATCAGAATTGTGGGCTTAGCAGAGGGGACCGAGGGTAGTGCCCCGTGTTCATAAAGGATCTGCTGTGTACCCTACTCCCTGCAGCCCAGTTTCTCTTTTTTTTACACCGTGGAGAGGGTGCATCGTATTCCACCTAAACCCGGTCCACCAGGCTCTTCGCCAATCACCTTTATCCTTCCGATTCCTCAATTTCCGTGACAGGGATGAAGTTCTTGGTGCAGCTAGGTTACGGGGGATCTTATTGTAACCAGAATAGGAAGAATATTATTTCTTTTTCTGGATTATTCAGTGGAAACACAGAAGTTGCAAAAATCCTTCGACCAGGTGAAGGCGGCCCTGTGGACCCATGGCATCCGCTACATCGTCCTGTATCCTGCTCCTCTGTGTGTCCAGAATGGGCAGATGGTTAGTTTTTTTCATCTCCGCATGGGAGGCCTCCGTATGGCTTGAAACTCTACCACCTGACCGGGGCCCCATGAGTGCTCGCCTGATCTCTCTCCTGGAGGCTCCTTATGAGTAGGCCACTGTTACCAGAATTGGGGTGATCCTGCTATTTTTCCACGACTTGTATTTTCTAAATACCTTTGCACCTGTTGTGCCTGATTCCTGTTGGAACTGTAACTTAAGGCTCTGCCCCTGATTTCCCAGGAAAACTTTGCTATTTTCAATTTTGAACTATATGACTCTGTGTTTAGGTACTGATTATCAAGCTGTTTATGCTATCTGCTGCTTTATCTCATTTTGTTCTTCGCCCTGTACTTTGCTGCTACATCTCTATCCCTGTATCCTGGAACAGTACACTGGGGCTGTTAATGAACCTACACCTGTATCATCGGCCTCCATTGGCTGGGGAAAGGCCTTATTGTTTTCCGCTATAAACGAAATTATGTTTGTAACCAGTGTGTGTCAACTCCTCCCTGGTCTTGATATACAGAAAGGGATCCTCTTACTACTCTTTGTTAAAGCTGACGAGTCTTCTGTTTTTTGTTTTTACTGACTGTCCAGCATCTCATCTTTTCCAGTAGCTCTTTTCTGAGCTGGTCCCTCTGGCTCATGCCTCTCTTCTGTTTCTGTTTTTGGTTGATTGTTGGGAACTCAGGGCATCCCAGTGTTGGGGTTGGTGATGCGGGGTGGGGGGTGGTTTACTCAGCTTTTGTTTTTTGCACAGGGGAGTTTACAATGGGGGATGTATTAGGTTTTCCTCCCTCTTTTTTTCTTGTTTTTAGTGAGTGCTTTGTTTGCTAATTATTTTTGTGACATGGTTTATGTGTTTTTCTTTTGTGTACTGTATACCTTTTTGACCTGTGTTCCTCCTCTGTACAGCCTGCCATCCGGGTCCAGTGGCATGGAGGTGGATGTCCCCCACCTTGTTTCACTCCTACTTATTACTATTCTAATTATGCAGGTGGGGTGGGGTGAGCATCCAAATTCATAAATCTCTTCCGTTTCAGGCCCTTGATGTTCACACTGACCCGAATGGTAGGTTCGTCATGGTGCATGCCCGAATATAAGACAAAGAGTTGGTACTTGTGGGAATATATCGACCCCCGCGCCTCTGTTCAGGTTTTGAATACTATTATGCAACTGTTGGTATGCTATGACATGAACAATGTTCTGATATTGGATGATTTTAACATGTTCCCTTGCCCAGATCTGGATAGGTTATATGCAGTGACTCGGACTCCTCCTGATTTACCACGTTGGGCCTCCACTTTCGCCCTTACAGATGTTTGGCAGCATCTTCAGCCTACTGAGAGGGAGTTTACTTGTCACTCTGCTACATACAGGACCCCTTCTAGGATAGATTTGGCGTTTGCATCTCATTCGGTCCTCCATTATGTCAGGACAGCTCAGATACTACCTCGTGGTCTCTGATCATGCTCCCCTGTCTCTGACCTTGTCATTTTCCTCGCTGCCTGGGTGTGGGCAATGGATGAGCATTTACAAGAGCCTCTTACCGAATCTATCTGCAATTATTGGTCTCTGAATGGGGATTCTCTGCTTCTCCCATACTGTTATGGGATTCCTTTAAGGCCTGGCTGAGAGGGGAATTTATTTCCAGGATCTCCTCTCTCCAAAAGGAGGCAGCTCGTTCTTTGACATCTCTGGAGGAGGAGGCATCTGGACTGGAAGCAGCGTATATTACTGCTGCAGACCGGGCCCATTATGCGCCAACTGTCTACCTATAGAATTGAACAAACTAAAAAAGCTTTGCTTCATTCTGCCTAACTAGTGTTCAAATATGGAGATAAAAATGGGAGGTTGCTTGCGTGGTTGGCTAGGGACAGGTCCCCAACAGTGCCCATCAGTTCTGTTCGAGACGAGGTGGGTCAGCTTCTTTTTTTACCAGATTCTACTAACGCCCGTTTTCTGGAATTTTATAGGGACCTCTCTCCTTTCCCCATTTGGCTGTTCCAAATAGGGAGGCCCTGGAGGCAGATATTTCGCTCGAGAAGGTGCAGCAGGCGATTTCAAGGTGGTGTTAGATAATGAGTTTATGTGAAATCTCCATTAATGAATGTAAATAATGTTATAATTACAAGTATATTTTAGTTAGATGGAAATATACAGTGTTTAAACCACTGAGTGTTTTGCAGCATCAAAACTTTCTAGCTTCCATAATGGTGTAAATATACAGTGGGGATCGAAAGTTTGGGCACCCCAGCTAAACATTTGTATTAATGTGCATAAAGAAGCCAAGGAAAGATGGAAAAATCTCCAAAAGGCATCAAATTACAGATTAGACATTCTTATAATATGTCAACAAAAGTTAGATTTTATTTCCATCATTTACACTTTTAAAATAACAGAAAACAAAAAAATGGCGTCTGCAAAAGTTTGGGCACCCTGCAGAATTTATAGCATGCACTGCCCCCTTTGCAAAGCTGAGACCTGCCAGTGTCATGGATTGTTCTCAATCATCGTCTGGGAAGACCAGGTGATGTCAATCTCAAAAGTTTTAAATGCCCAGACTCATCTGACCTTGCCCCAACAATCAGCACCATGGGTTCTTCTAAGCCAGGGGTGTCCAAACTTTTTTCAAAGAGGGCCAGATTGGATGAAGTGAACATGGTGGAGGGCCGAACATTTTTCCAAACATTCTTTGAACCATTACAATTTAATGCAAATAAATTATTTTATGCCAAGTTACCGTATTTTTCGCCCTATAAGACGCACCTGACCATAAGACGCACCTAGGTTTTAGAGGCAGAAAACAGGAAAAAAAAATTCTGAACTAATGGACTGCAGACACAGTACAGGAGATGACCAGAGACTGCGGACAGCACAGGGATGACCAGAGACTGCGGACAGCACAGGGATGACCAGAGACTGCGGACAGCACAGGGATGACCAGAGACTGCGGACAGCACAGGGATGACCAGAGACTGCGGACAGCACAGGGATGACCAGAGACTGCGGACAGTACAGATGACTGCTGACCTTTGGGAAGGTGGGGAGCGGGTACCTGAATTTGACAGGTACCCGCTCTTACTTCCGCAGTTGTTCTTTGATCTTACCTGTTCCTCGATCCAGCTGCTCGCTGTCTTCCCGGCTTCTGTAATGGCGCTCGGCATGACAGCCGGGTGCCCAGTGCGCATGAGCGAGAAGCACTTGCGCTTTGTGATTGGTCCGGCGGCTTCTGGGATCTGTCATGTGTCCCAGGTACCGCCTTACCATTCACAAAAAGCACCGCTTCTTGCGCATGCGCACTTGGCACCCGGCTGTCATGCCCAACGCCCACACTACAGAAGCCGGGGGAAGACAGCGCGCCGCTGGTTAGAGGAACAGGTAAGGTCCCGCTGCAGAGCTGAGCGGCCGGCCCGGTATTCTGACACGGCCGCGGTGGAAATACCGGACCGGCCGCTCCATATTCGCTCCATAAGACACACTGACACACTGACATGGAGGGCCGTATTAAACCGACCCTCGGGCCGTAAATGGCCCGCGGGCCGGACTTTGGACATGCCTGTTCTAAGCAGTTGTCTAGAAAACTGAAACTGAAAATAGTTGACACTCACAAAGCTGGAGAAGGCTATAGGAAGATAGCAAAGCGTTTTCAGATGTCAATATCCTCTAATCGGAATGTAATTAAGAAATGGCAGTCATCAGGAACAGTGGAAGTTAAAGCAAGATCTGGAAGACCAAGAAAAATATCAGACAGAACAGCTCGCAGGATTGTGAGAAAAACAAAAACAATTCAAAACCCACGTTTCACTGCACGATCCCTCCAGAAAGATCTGGCAGACACTGGAGTTGTGGTACACTAGTCCACTATAAAGAGATACATGTACAAATATGGTCTTCATGGAAGAGTCATCAGAAGAAAACCTCTTCTACGTCCTCACCACAAAAATCATTGTTTGAACTTTGCAAATGAACATATAGACAAGCCTGATGCATTTTGGAAACAAGTTCTGTGGACCGATGAGGTTAAAATTTAACTTTTTGGCCGGAATGAGCAAAGGTACGTTTGGAGAAGAAGGGGCACAGAATTTAATGAAAAGAACCTCTGTCCAACTGTTAAGCATGGGGTTGGATCAATCATGCTTTGGGGTTGTGTTGCAGCCAGTGGCACAGGGAACATCTCACAAGTAGAAGGAAAAATGGATTCAATAAAATTTCAGAAAATTTTGGATGGTAACTTGATGCCATCTGTGAAAAAGCTGAAGTTAAAGAGAGAATGGCTTCTACAAATGGATAATGATCCTAAACACACCTTGAAATCCATGAGGGATTACATCAAGAGGCATAAACTGAAGGTTTTGCCATGGCCTTCACAATCTCCTGACCTCAACATAATTGAAAATCTATGGATAGACCTTAAAAGAGCAGTGCGTGACAGACAGCCCAGAAATCTCAAAGAACTGGAAGACTTTTGTAAGAAAGAATGGGCAAAGATACCTCAAACAAGAATTGAAAGACTCTTGGCTGGCTACAAAAAGCGTTTACAAGCTGTGATACTTGCCAAAAGGGGGCAGTACAAGATATTAACTCTGCAGGGTGCCCAAACTTTTGAAGACGCCATTTTTTTGTTTTCTGTTATTTTGAAAGTGTAAATGATGGAAATAAAATCTAACTTTTGTTGACATATTATAAGAATGTCTAATCTGTAATTTGATGCCTTTTGGAGATTTTTCCATCTTTCCTTGGCTTCTTTATGCACATTAATACAAATTTTTAGCTGGGGTGCCCAAACTTTCGATCCCCACTGTATATAGAGTTTTCCACTGTACACGTTCTGGCCTTTTGTTGTGCCCTTAGCATATCTCACATGAGTGGTAAATAGCAGCCTTCTTTGAACTTCCAATTAGGCTGTGCCCAATGTACATTGGCTAGATACAGTGTCCAATTAGTGAGCATTATATTAGCCACAGTACAGGCAGGAGGGGGGGATATAAGGCCTGGTCACCCAGCTGGAGCTCTCTTTGTGATGAGACACACTCAGCAGGCAGGATGACTAAACCTAAAGTTGAGAGGTAAACTAACTTCATACTTGTATTGTACATTGTATTTTAAACATGGTTTTGTGGGTAAATTGTAAATAACTGTACATTGTGTTGTAAATACTGCTTAGCGTGTAATTTGTATATATTATGTACCTCTATCAATAAATGTATATTGCAGATGGAACTACCTCTTTTGTGTAGGAACTCTCAGATCTAGCTGGATATATGTAAATACTCCTACAAGGATTGGGGGGTATTCACAAATACACGTAACCCAGTCAACAGATGGCAACCACGAAGGGACACAAATTTGGTGGTCTCTTTCAGCAATATTTTAAGGGGTTGCAGTATCTACAAAAGCACACTAATGATAGGTTTTCGTTTGAATGCTAAGAAGGAACATTGGGTTCTCTATATGCTTGATACAGACATGGGCTATAGCAAATAGCTGGGTGGTGCAGTTTATAATCAATTTCTATGCACAAAGATACAGTCTACTCTTTTTAAGATTTTTCTTGCATTTTATAAAGGGCGTGTATGCAGATCAACGGGAATTGCCAGCCTTGCACAAAAGATGGCTAGTGAGCACATGCAGTCTATAGAAAGTGTGCTATTTGCAGCTAATAATATTGGCAAACTATTGCCAGGAGTGCACATAGCATTTCATGCAGACAATGTCTTGCAACAATGTAAATTACTAGGAGTTACCAACTCAAGTGACCAGATAAAAATCTTGCTTTTAACAGTTGAAGTGAACACATGGCTTTGCTTGCCAGACCATGTTAAAGAAGGAAGAGCAAATTACAGTGAAATTGTAGATGAATTGCTAAACGTATTACATCCCTTTGACACAGGCTTAAAAGCAGCTTATAGAACAAAGCAGGAAATTAATGAGAATCCACTTTGTTACGCAAACAGGCTATGGTCAGTCTACCATTTAGGCAAAGGGAGAAACGGACACAGAGAAGATCCAACAATCCTGGGGGCCCCCATGCTACACCATTGGTAAATATCAGGACATCTCTCTGGCACTTTACATGTATACATGCTTGTCGTATGTGTTGTCTGTCTTGCGGTTTGTGGGTTTAAGGTATGAGTATTATATTCTATTATTCATTGGTTTAATCATTTACATTTTGTTTCTCTTTTCCTTTTTCTTATTGTAAAATAGATAGATTGTGGTATGTTAGTTTAGACCTCCCTACTATTCACTAATAAATTTTGGTTGTTGTATTAAAACTTTCACTGTTGGTCAAAGAACTCTCATTAAGGTTAATCAAATCATTTCAGAGAAGTCTTTCGGTAGAGTTCTACTCCCAATTTTCGGAATTGCTGGCCCCTTGATTGTTAGCTCTATTTTTGGATTTCTCATCCCTTGAGTAACTTCCTGCCTCTATGGAAGAGGCCATCGTTGTTTTGATTCCTAAACATGTCAAGGACCTGCAGGACTTCACTTTCTATCGTCCTATTACCCTATTAAATGTGGATGCAAAAATGTTTGTGCAGATCCTTGCTACTTGTCTATCCAGGGTAATTGAAGACTTAGTTGATGTTCTACTGTATACACCATTCTGATTCTGGTACTAGGGTTGTTGCATCCCTTGACAAAAAGGCCGAAAAGGCTTTTGACTCAGTAGAGTGAACCTATTCCTTAAAAGTTTCAGTTTTGGTCTGAAATTCCTGCATTGGCTTCAAATGTTGTATAGATCACCCAGGGAGTGAGTCCGTTTCAATTACAGACTTTTGGAACCCTTCTCGCTTCACCAGGGTACGTTTCAGGACTGTCCGCTATCTCTTGACCTGTTTGCCCTGGCATTGGAGCCTCTAGGGGTGCTGATTAGGGAGTCCTCAGAGGTTCGGGGATTACGGGTGGGGGCTTTAGAGGAGAAAATATCCCTATATGCTGATGATGCCCTGTTATACCTTAACGATGCTGGCCCATCACTTTTGGCAGCACTTCATATATTTGACATGTATGGGTTCTTCTCTGGTATCAGGATCAGTTGGTCTAAATAACTTTTCTTCCCCCTTGATGTCCGTACCACTGAATCTGTGAGCCCCTCACCATTGCATTGGGTTGATGAATGTAGGTACCTTGGGGTCCTGGTGATCAGGAATTTACAGTATATGGGTATTTGGCCCGCAACTTTTACCCTCTCCTTTCGTCCCTCAAGGTGCCATGTTCTGCTTGGGCGGACCTCCCTCTGAATCTACTCGGCCGTATTAACTTTATCAAAATGATATATCTACCTAAATTTAATTACATATTTCGACATTGCCGTGTTTGGATCCCTCCTTCCTTCTTTACTGATGTTGATAGATGTGTCTGCTCATTTATTTGGCATGGCTCCCTTCCCCGGCTGGCGAAGACTACCCTCTGGCTTACTCCCTGGCTGGGCGGGCTGGTATTACCCAGTTTTAGAGTGTGTTTTTTGGGTGCTGGTACTTGTCTCCATTTACTGGTGGTGCATAGGTTCGAGATCCAATGTCGTGGTGTGTTTGGAGGCAGCCTCCCTGGGCTCCCTGTCGGATTTGAGTAATTTTATGTATAGAGGGCCGAGGGCATATGAGGGGGTGCCGGAACAGGCGTATGCCACGTGGAGGGTGTGGGTGGCTGTACGGCGTTGATTTGTGACCTCAGGCCAGTGGTCTCCAGCTCAACCACTCTGGGGTAACCCTTCTCTTTTTCAGTTCTGTACCATCCTGGACCCCCAAATCTGGGAGAGGTATTAAAAACCTGACTGATATTATGCCCCAGGGGGCCATTTTGCTCTTCTCCCAGCTCTCCACCACATATGTTTTTTAGATACCTCCAACTGAGACAGGCTACGAGAGCCCAGTTCAGCTGGGTGTCTCTCCTCCAGACAGACCCAACTGAAGAACTGGTGACTTCAGAAGACATGGTGAAACCCCTCTCGGCTCTGTATGGGGCACTTCTTAATGTTAATTCTCCGAAAGTTGAGCGTATGTGAGAAAGATGGCAGGCTGATATCCCGACATTAGATAAGGAGGATTGGGAGGATTGCCTGGAACGAGGTCCTAAACTGGTCATCTCCTCTAAAGATAAGCTGATTCAGGTTAAGTTTCTCCATAGAATTTATTACACACCCCTGAGACTTCATACAATCTACCCTGAACGGGACCCTGTTTGTCCCCGTTGTCATGTACACCCAGGGTCCTTTTTTCATATGTTTTGGTTATGCCCCGTGATTATAGCCTATTGGTCTGAGGTTTTCGCTGAGATCAACCTTTGTTCCATTTGTCACTACGCCTCTCGTCGGAGTTGGCCCTCTTGG